TATATATATATATATATATATATATATATAAACTTTAAAACTTCAATTTACAACAAATAATTTAGTAGGTTTTTAATTTCCAATAATAACAGCTAACTTCAAGACAGTTATAAATTCATAAATACACTTCTGATGGAAAACAGTGGCTTACAGTAATTTGTGTGTAATTGTCAACCTTAATAACTGAAGCTTCCAAGACTAGACTAACTAGACTAGACTAGGAGATGACTAGACTGGATAATGTTTAGGTTTGCAAGGCAAAAAAAAACACATATCCGCATTCAAAGCTTAATGTTGAGCCTTGCAAATAGTTATATATATATATATATATTTCCACAAACATTTAGAAAGAATGTCTCTTTAAAAGCTGCCTGTCAGTCTTGTGCGGTTGCTGAAACAAGATGTTGTCGAGTCATCCTGGTAAATGAATTCAGGTGCTCTCAACCTTGAAAAATGGACATATTCATTTGGGCTTTTTTGTGCTCTTGTGGTCGACACGTTCAATTAACTTGAATGCGGCCCAGCCTTGGGAGTCTATGAATGCTAACGCTAATGAATGGCTTGGATCTTTTCCTTTAGATTCCTGCCAATAAACATTCCATTAGCTTCATGTCCTTGAGACGCACATCGGAAAAACGGCATTGTTCCGTTCACCATCTCAGTCATCTCTTCAATGAAAGAGAAAACGGAAAGAAAGCAAAAGCTGCTCTGAATTCAGACTGTAAAGGATCCGCCATGATTCATCAGGGTCAAGAGAGGAAACGGCTTTTTAAAACACGGGAGCACGGGAAAAAAATATGAATTCTGTAGCAGTGATCGGGCTTATCTCATTTCGGAAAATGGGAGTTAAGTCGCACAAAATCTAAAGTATTCTTACACAAGCTTTAATAAAAGAGCCTGATGTTTGGGATTAAACCTGAGATTACAAAGCAAAACACAAGCAGCTGCACAGCTCGAGGCCAAACACTACACCAGAGACACTACCAGCGAAAGAAAGGATAGTTGATAATGAAACGATTAAACATCTGCCTCTGACTAACACACAAACTCAATATTAAAAGATCAGCTGGAATTCTTCTGTTTTAGATGAGACACAGGCCACGCCTCCTTAATGAAAGCTCAGGGATTCATAATTATTAGGTTGGTGTGACTAACCTCCCACTGATTATATTTTAAAGCATTATATATGAATACACTGTAAAATCAGTTGTATAGCACCAGTGCTAAAAGAGAAATCAAGTTTAAAGGGGCTGGACTGACCTTTGCGGATGCCGGCGTAGCTGCTGCTGAGGCCATTCCTCTTCTTACGGTGGCGGTACAGCCAGATGCTGAAGACCATGAGGATGATCCAGCAGGCCGCGCCGAGGCCCGCGATGAAGGCCGGCTGACGCACCACGTCTGAGATCTGCTGGGAAATTGTATTGTCATCGTCCAGCGGCGGCGGGAGAACACGGCCTGACGAGTCTGAGAGAAAGATGATGAGAAATGAGATACAGATAGAGAAGTTCATCAAATATTTCATATAAACCATGTCACTGATGCAATAATTAGAGAAATATTTTAGATGAAATACACCTGTGGCAAGCTGTCAATTTCAGAAGAAATCATTTGTACATAATCCAGTTTGAAAAAAAAATGCATTGACAATTAAAAATTAATAAATACAATATTAAAGCCAATGAATATAATAGACATTTAAAATATAATTGTATTTAATAAATAAAAAAGATATATAATAAATTAATAAATGCATAAATAAAAATCAATAAATAAACATTATATCATAAGACTATTTTTTGCATGGCACAGAACTTGTTTAACCCAACATATTCCTTTAAATGTGACCCTGGACCACAAAACCAGTCATAAGGGTACATTTTTCGAAATTGAGATTTATACATCATATGAAAGCTGAATAAATAAGCTTTCCATTGATGTATGGTTTGTTAGGATAGGACAATACTTGAAAATAAAAATACTGAGAAAATCACCTTTAAAGTTGTCCAAATGAAGTTCTTAGCAATGCATATTACTAATCAAAAATTAAGTTTTAAAATATTTACAGTAGGAAATTTACAAAATATCTTCATGGAACATGCTCTTTACTTAATATCCTAATGATTTTTGGCATAAAAGAAAAATCAACAATTTTGACCCATACGATGTATTTTTGGCTATTGCTACAAAATATACCCCAGCGACTTAAGACTGGTTTTGTGCTCCAGGGTCACACATTTGTAAAATATTTATTTGTTAATAATAATAATAATAATAGTAGTAACGACAACAGCAGCAATAATAAATATTCACGTCAAAAATAACACTTGATATTATATATATAAAAAAACATAATTCTACATAAAACAGTGTAACAAGGTTCATAAGTCGGGAAGAAGGAGGCGGGAACCGGTGAACATTTAAACAAACTTTAATAATAAAATAAACACAAAACAGCGCGACAGCCCCTCGCGGACGACTGTCGCGCACAAACAAAACCAAAACACAAAATAAACTCCAGGCCTGGTCCTCTCTCGTCTTTCCCTGTCATCACTCCTCCTTTGTATCCTTCCGGAGCTCCTCCGTGAGACTCGAGACCGGTGAGTGGCGCAGGTGTCGCGCATTCGCAATTACTCCACCGACCTCGCTCCGTTCCCACGGCTCTCGGCCCCGCCCCTCTCGTCACAAACAGCAACAGAAAAGAATAATGATAAAAAATGTATCTAAAGAATTTAGCTAAATACTGACTTTGAAGCGGAATAAGAATTGGAATAGACAGTAAAAAGTGAGTTCAGTGATTTATATATTATGTAAAAGATGAATTATGAATGACCAGATGCTATCTGGAAGAACTGCAACCAAAAAAGCATCTTCCCTTCTGTGCTCTCGTTTGCCCTTTCTTATTTTTACATTAAAGAGAAACTAGTGCTGTCGACCCAGAAGAAATCTCATTCTGTTGACTTGCTTCCTTTTTTCATCTTTTCATGTTCGTTTCATGTGGGCGTCACTTTCATCTTTTTGACGCTGTTCAGTTTTTGTCTTCTTTTCCAGCTGGGGGCAAACAGGTTCTCCCAAAACCTGAGCACCGCGCTGTATTCCCTGCTCTGTCTTTGTGACTCTGTCCTCTGTACTTCCTGTCTCAGAGGTTTTGTTTGTTGTTTGGTTGTGACTGAGGCTCCGCTGAGAGGCCAGGACAGGAAAGGTGCGTAGGATGCGGAGATGCAAGAAAGCCCACGGTGTGACAAATGCTTTTGAGACCTGCGTCCTCTGCTTCCGGCGGCGGTGTAAGGCCACAGAAGCACACTCAGCAGAGGAATCAGCGGCAGTGAATGGAAGCAGATCAGTCACAGTGTTCAAGAGGAGCGGCGTGCATTCATCCCACACTGCACTTCAATGCAGGAGCAAACCGACTGCCTGAAATCTGGCCTCTCCACTGTGGATCTGTATGTGAGGTTACGGTTCAAACCGGTGCTACCAAACATGTTTCAATGGGGGACAAGTACTGGTATTACCCAGAATGCAATATAATGCTACTCATTTCAACATATGAAAACAAAAGCACGATAAACGTGGATATTATCCAACGTTTACCATCCAACCTGACAGAACTGGAGAGGATCTGCAAGGAGGAATGGCAGAGGATCCCCAAATCCAGGTGTGAAAAACTTGTTGCATCTTTCCCAAAAAGACTCATGGCTGTATTAGATCAAAAGGGTGCTTCTACTAAATACTGAGCAAAGGGTCTGAATACTTAGGACCATGTGATATTTCAGTTTTTCTTTTTTAATAAATCTGCAAAAATGTCAACAATTCTGTGTTTTTCTGTCAATATGGGGTGCTGTGTGTACATTAATGAGGAAAAAAAAAATAACTTAAATGATTTTAGCAAATGGCTGCAATATAACAAAGAGTGAAAAATTTAAGGGGGTCTGAATACTTTCCGTACCCACTGTATATAGTTCAAAAGTTATAAAAAAAAGTTTAAAAGTTGATCATCTGTTTTTCTTTACTGTATGAGTCTCTCTTTGTGCATCCAACTGGGTTTCAAAATGCCATTTAATCTCTTTCTGTCAAATGACTGACTATAAACTAGTCTCTGACAGCACTGTGATTGGCATCTTATTAAAAACAGATTTGCATAACCGGATGGCCTATTATCCACCTGTATCCACTGGCACAACACCAGGCTGCATCACAATCACTTCCATTCAGTGCAGTTTAACCGCTGCCACCTATTTCTCGAGGCTGAACAAGTTAAAGCTGGCAAGTTAATGGAGAAATAAACTTAAAGCAATTAAAGGCTCTGCGGCACTAAAGTAAACTGCACTTTACTTGACGTCTCCTTTATTCTCGGATGAGAATGAGGACTCCGATAAGGCTGTTTTTGTAAATTGCATACTTTTTGATGGCTAACCACAAGGCAAGCTACAACCGTGCCATTCACAAGCTTAAACAGTACATTTTATAAAGAGCAGGCCTTAAATAATGGCCATTATCATGAACCTTTCCAGTCATAATAAGACAGTCGGGTGTTAAAACGGGCCGGTAGTTGCTATCAGAGTGTTTGTGGTGTTTCTGTAACCCGTTATCAGAAGAATCAACCATTCATACTGGGCTCTTCTTTAGCTGCTAGTGTTGAATAACAGCTGTCCGGCAGAGTCGAGAATCTCGGTTAACCAGAATAACATCCCGGTCCGACTCACCCAGCTGGAAGGATGTAGCCTCGCTCTTCACCCCGGGACCGGCCCCTGTGCTGGCTGCCACCTCCACCCTGTACGTGACCCCTGCAACCAGGCCGGGAATCAGAACCGAGTGCGTGGATCCATCCACTGTGCGGTTAATGTGGTATCGGCTTTCATTACCAAGACACCAGATCTGAGGGGGGAAAAGTAAAGAAAACATGATGGGAGACAGACAGTTAGCACTTAATAAAAAATAATTTACGTTGAATAACAAGTCTGTTCTGAAAGAGTGAACCTTTTTAAGTGATACTAACATAATCTAAAAGTTTGGTCACGCCTGCTTTATGATTACTATTTTGCACATTTTAATTGTCTTCAAGTCTTTAAAACTATGAAATAACACAAATTGAAGTATAGTAATGATGTAGTGCCTATTAAAACAATTAATATTAGTATTAAGATCATGTGAAGCATAAACATTAATAATATTTTCAAACACAGGTTTGGACACACTTGACTGAAATTATGCTTCACATGATCTTAATAAGAATATTTTTATTATTATTATACATGTTTAAAAAATATTATATTTAAACACGTTTTTATCAAAATATTTTGATAAGATTATGAGAAACATCAATTCAGTAAAGTGTGTCCAAACTTTTGTGTTTGCACAAATAGACAAATTGTTTTGCTAACTTTATCAATGTTACAAACAAACATTTATCGTCTGAAAATAATACACGAGTTTCCTCAAAGTTGGTAAGTAAATCTATTTAAATGTTACCGTCAGCCCTCCTGCATCAATTCGCAGACTATCATGTAGCACTGAAGTTGAAAGGTGTCATGCAAACAAGATCCACCACCTAGAATAACACTCCCTCTCTGTGGAACTGACATTCCCTCATTCCGTCTTCAAGTCAAAGGTCTGATTTCCCCTGATATGAAAGTGCAATTTTCTTTGTTTTCATTGCGCGCACTGAACCCTGGTCAGTTTCCTCCTCTCGGGAAGCTGTCAGCCGTGCTGACCAAATGAGCGTCAAAGTGTGTGTGCGACCCTGTGTGTGACCAGAGCTCGCATCAGCCACCCTCACCCTAACACAATCACAGGCCTGGCAGGGGGCCCATTCACCGGAGTGAAATGTGATCTCACCCCTCTCTGACTGCCTAAAGCTGCGGTCACACTAGATTTTGAGCATGCAAAATTTCTTCGTATGCTGCAACAGTCGTGATATGACGTCACACTCTGCAGCGTCTTTTTAAAACTTAAATTCAACACACAAATAATAATACATCTAAAATGTAAAAACATACAATCTACTCCACTTTCCTGCATCGCTGCAGTTTAAAATGAATGTTCTTTTAATTCAGCTACGAGGTCATACTGTGACATATCGATCTGCTGTTGGTTACACGGTTTCACGTGATTCAAATTCGAATACTTATCTTGCTGGATCTGTCCGCTGCTTTTGACACCAGATCCTCCTGTCAACCCTATTGGCAAAGGGCATCTCAGGAACCACACTCCAGTGGTTTGAGTCTTATCTTTCAGATAGGTCCTTCAAGATATCTTGGAGAGGTGAGGTGTCCAAGTCGCAACATCTAACTACTGGGGTGCCTCAGGGCTCAGTTCTTGGACCACTTCTCTTCTCTGTCTACATGGCATAACTAGGTTCTATCATTCAGAAACATGGCTTTTCATATCACTGCTATGCTGATGACACTCAACTATACCTCTCATTCCATCCTGATGATCCGACGATAGCTGCTCGCATCTCAGCTTGTCTAACAGACATTTCTTGCTGGATGAAGGACCATCACCTTCAACTCAACCTTGCCAAGACAGAACTGTTTGTGTGGTTACATCAAACCCATCGTTTCACCACAATTCACCATCCAGTTAGGCACATCAACCATAACTCCTTCAAAAACAACAAGAAACCTCTGAGATTATTTTTTTCCTTTGGAACGCAGCAAAATGCAAAACTTTTCACACAAGCTGCGTTTCCGGTCTGACGCATTTGCATGCGTATGAATGGAAATAACACACTGATCTACACAATGTATAGAAAAAATGCTTTTTACATATTTCTCTATGCTCACTTCCCCTTTTTCGGAAACGCTAACTAGATTTAGACATCCCTGAAGGCTTCGGAGGAAAAAAAAAAAGTGGATTATGGGTTGAAAGAGAGAAAGTGATGTAACAAGCGGGGACGTTCTGAGGGTTCTGAAGTTCTCCTGAGGCACAATGGGGCAGAAAAAAATAAGTGTACAAGAAAAGTGATTAGCGAAAAATCCTCCTCCGTCCAACTTAACAAGCATGAAATTAATCACTACCTTCCTTCCTTCAACTGCCTGAAAACATTTACCTGGAAAATTAACTGGGACTGAACGACTCAAACCGCGCCTCTTCCCGTCAGCCGCGGCCTACGAACTAAATACTGATACACCGCAAAGCCATTAAAATTTCAGCACCTGAGAGGAATATTGGATGAGATGGGCTCTGTTATCTTGTTTGGACATGAAAAGCACATGAAGACACGCAGAAAGAACATAAATAAAGAGAAAGAATGGAAGATAGCTAGGAAATTGTTGCCAGTTATATTTGCTTGTATGTATGTTTGCGCATGACTACAAATACAAAAAGCGGACACAAAGCATAAAAAATTATTTATAATTCTCAAATATAACTATCTTAACAAAAAAATAACATAGCTTGTTCATAAGGTAATGTTTTCGCACTATACTTAATCAAAATCAACTTATCAAAAGGATATTGTCAAAACAACGACCAATACAACATTGTACTTTGTTAAAAAAAAAACTTGAAAACTAGCTGCATTTACATTTGGAAAAATACTTCATAGCAATACATGTATATATATTTGTATAATATATAATTTAATAATTATATAATAATTTATATATATATATATATAATCACATATACTTCATTGAAATATATGTATATAAATAATGTAACAATTATATATATATATATATATATATATATATATATATTGTAATTAGAATCAATGTAATAATTATATACAAATTTTATTTAATAATTTACATAAGTCAAATCAAAAGAGCCACACAAATCACTACATTCCCTATGAGGACATCTATCTGGCAGAAGTTGTGGTAATGCTCCAGAAGAACCATTAGGTGGCAGCATGTCACAACATCTAAATTCCCCCCAATGAAAATCAACCCATTATCCACTACACTCTCACCACTCATTCAGCAGCACATCATAAAATGAATGAGCATAAGTCAGTAAATGAAATTCCTCTTCCACCTATTTCCTTCTTCTACTACCATCCTTCATTCTGTTTTTACATACACTCTATGTCTCTCTCTCTCATTGTCTGTTTCCTCAGGTTCGTACCTTATACTCCTGCACCACGCCGTTCTGCTCCTCCTCTGGGGGCGGTTGCCAGGATACCAGAATAGCTGTGCCGTTGTCTCCGCTTCCTGTTACGGTGACACCCCTGGGAGCGGCGCTGGGCGCTGCGATAAGAGACACGAGCGGGATGTTACACACAGCTTACAATATACACGTGTGTTTTGCATGTGCATATATGCCTTTTTAACACCTTAAATTTCACATGTGCATGTGTGCATATATAAACATTATGCACACACGCATATGGGCTATATGTATGTGTGTATGTGTGTTCTCTGAAACTTTTAATAGTACACACTCAGCGGTATTAGTGCTCTTAAATAATGAGAGGCGACTGCCAAGCAACATGATTAGGCCGTCCCAGTGCAAAACACCAGCAGAACGAATGCTTGAGCTCAGGGCGAACAGAATGTTGTCACTGTACTTCACGTCACATAACTATTATCCACTTAATACATTAATGTTAACACAAAGCCCTGAAGTGAAACATTTGCTTTGTGTTTGCTGTCTCTGACGTTTTGCATTTCAATTACATAAAAAAGCAGGCGCACACACATACACAGGCAAATTTGGAACAAACCAAATGGCTGGCGTTCTCCAGAGCCACAGATGCCACACCCTCAGAACAATTAGCACACCAGTTGTTTGAGCTTTCGGTTTTTGGCTTCTCGTTGGCTGCTTGGCTTTCGTGAAGCGATTTAAACAGCCCTCTTTGCCCTCCCTCGTGGGCCGCAGACCACACGTTAACATAAATGAGAAGTACTGAATGCAGGGGAAAGCCTTTCTTACTCTAGAGGTCTGCACGGGCATGCAGAAAGCCTGAATGTAGCCTGCAAATGTGATCAAGCCAAACCCAAAAATAAACTCAATGTCTTTCTATTTCCTGTCTGAGCGGGTACACCCAGGCGCAAATGCAAAATGCAAAACTGATTGATTTCGCCCAGGAATGTGAATGCAAAAATATTTAGAATAATTTATATTCAATTTATGCAATGTATGATAATTTTTTTGTATTTTATTATATTTTAAATAAAATAAAAATAAAAAGTGTTTTATTATAATGTATATTTCACAAAATGTAAACCTGAAATAAAAATTGCACATGAAAAAAGCTTACTAAAACCTTGTCCAAAACAAACGTAAAAAAGTACTTGTAATATTATTTTATTTTGATATTATATTTTAACCATATGTGAACCTAAAATTGAAAAATTAAGCATGAAAAATCTGACTGAAACCTTGTCCGGAACCTAATCCAAAAACCTTGATCGAACCAAATCAAGAAATTCAAATGATGCCAGAGATGTGAGTTTAAAAATATTTATAATTTATATTTTGACATTAAATATTATTTATTTTGATACATTTTTTGACATTTTATAAAATTATTTTTATTTGATCCATCCAACCATCCATTTTCCGCCACTTATCCAGGACTGCGTATATTCTTTTATACATTCCATACACACACACACACATATACATACGCAACACCATGTCCGAAACCCAAATATTCAGACATGCAAGGCAGCAACTGTTCACTTCATATGACTTTGTATTGTGACTTCTGTGAAGTGAATGAGAAAGGAATCGTGGGACATTAAGCTTTAAAGCACACAGAGCACACAGTCACCTTCCTCCAGGGTCTTGCCCACTTTGATGTCGCTGTCGGTGCCTTGGAACTCATTGAAGAAAGGTCGGACTTTGAACTCATAGGTCACGCCCTTCTTGAGCTGGGTGACGACTGCGCTGTTCTCCCCCAGGGTTCGAACCTCAAACATGGCCCATTCCACCCGCTGCTGAGCGCCCTCTGGGGACGGCCGGTACATCACCTTATAGCCCTGAATGTACTGAGACTGCTGCTCGACCTAGAGGAAGAACAAGGCAAAACTGAAGGACAAAAACACTTAGATGTTTTAAACGCCTGCTAATGATTACCACTAGCATTATCCAGGACCAGGAAGCTTTAAAGACAGCAAGTTTTACGACATTTGTTACTAGTTAGCCAAATTATGCTTTATTATTAGATATCTTTCATACTAACATAGTTAAGTATTATAATGTACTGTAACTATTACAATTACTAACAAAACGTATAACTGTAAGCCCAGGCATTAATGTTTTTACCTAAATATTTTCATTTTTTATTGCAATAATATCTAACATTTTGGAAGAAAACCTTGTTTTGTGGCTTTGTGCGTTGACATACTTATCCTAGGTTTAATATGCAAACTCAACATTGAAGATTCAGATTTGAGCTTCTGTTGACTTCTTATGTGAAGTGATTTTCATATTGGAGGTGTTCAGCACACTGGGATCAGCCCATATGGCCGTGGAGAGAGGAGAACTGTACACGCTTGTAAAGATTTTAATCAATTCTTGATCCGCCCCAATAAAAGCAGATGTCGTTTCAGCTGTTTCTGATTAAATACGTATAAAGTGCGAACGACCCAAAATGTTAAAAGTAACATGCTGGGAATATTTCTGTTTGTGTGTGCACGCGTTTGTGGGGTGAACATCTGTAGAGAATTAACCTTGACTTTAGATGTTTAGAACATACTGTTTAATTAACACTAAATGCATTTGTTCAGTGCCACATAAAATGAAAAAAAGTGAAATTTATGCTTAAAACACACTAAAGAGCAAATTTTCAGTGAGTTATTTACTTAACTGAATACATATTCTCTTTAAATAAATAATTATCGTACAAACTTGTGATTTTCAATACAAACCCAAAATGTTAAAAGTAACATGCTGGGAATATTTCTGTTTGTGTGTGCACGCGTTTGTGGGGTGAACATCTGTAGAGAATTAACCTTGACTTTAGATGTTTAGAACATACTGTTTAATTAACACTAAATGCATGTGAAATTTATGCTTAAAACACACTAAAGAGCAAATTTTCAATGAGTTATTTACTTAACTGAATACATATTCTCTTTAAATAAATAATTATCGTACAAACTTGTGATTTTCAATACAGTTTATCGTACTTTTAGGATGTTTAGATACAGTATTTCACTGACAAACAAGATAAAGCACTGATTAAAACTGCATTTTGCCAGTGAGATCATTTGAATAACATGCCAAGTTGTGACTAAACTTTAAACAGAATGTTCATTTTTGAGTGAACTGTCCCTTTAAAAGAAGATGTGGCAGCACTCACAGTCCACTGGACTCTGACAGATGACGAGGAGAGAATTGTGGGATTGTGGAGGTGAATGACGATATCTCCCAGCTCCCTCTGGATCTGCCCGTGGTCCACTCCCTGACTGGTTGGTGGGACGTCTACTCAAATAAACACAAACCACACAGAAAATATGGAGCACAAGCATATATGAATACCAAATACCCCAGAATAATACACAAAAGAGTGATACATTTCATAATTCTCACAGGTGCAATATTTAAAACTCATGAAAAGACACTTGTCCGGGAGGTCAAAGGTAAACTGACCTTGTGTTTTGACAGCGTCGCTGATGGGGCTTGGGTCACTCAGGCCGTACGCATTAGCCGCTCTCACCAGGAACAGGTAGATGGCGCTGGGCTTCAGACCCTTTAGGACGAAGCTCTCAGTCTTCACGTGATCCGCCAGCGTCTGCCAGCTGCTGCCCGCCGCATGGCTGCCGTCCACACCACACAAATCAAACTTCAGTTTACCCTGCGGCCCAAACTTTATAGCGAAATATCGCAACTACAAACATTATCCCAAACAATGAGGAAAATCGCTTTAAGGAAAGCACGTTATTTATGACACGCCGCAGTAAATGGACTGGGTATTTACAGAACCCCTATTAGCCTGTGAATGCTATTTACAAACGTTTGTAAAACACACGCTCGTTCAACCAAACCCACCAATGATAGATAAGTATGCTCAAAACTGATGATGTCACCTGAAGGCTTCTATGACGTAAGAGGTGGGCGTGGCTCCAGCGTTCAGGTTGGGCTTCCAGGACAGAGACACAGAGGTGCGGCTGACATCCGTGACCTCTGGTTTGAAGGGGGCGCTTGGGATGAGGTTGGGATCTGTGGGTCGACCCGGCTGAGCCGGAGCACCAAACTCTGAAACCATAAACACACATAAGAACATTACACCCAAACACAGAAGAAGTCTAAATAACCTTAAAATTAAATAAATAAATATCTAAAGATCCTAAAACAAGGTCGATTTACTTGGGAAGCAAAGGACCATATGCAATATGAGACATTATATGAAATATTAAAGAGGTATTAAGTAATGTTTTTGGAAAAATAAAACAATTCTGCAAGCTTTATGCTTAACATCGAAAGAAAAAAAATATTTGCCAATAGGATAAATAAACTTATTTGTCCAGAACAACTCTTACAAGAACCAGAAGCAGAGAGTGCTATACGGGTGTCTTTATATAGCCACTGGTGCTCATTGGATGTCATGGAGGTAAAAATCTAATTATGTAGACAAAACACTTCCAAGGCACTCACGTGGTAAGATAAAAAGCCTTTTTTCCCCATTATTATTATTTTAAAAAAAAATTATTATTACTTTTTTTTATCCCCCCCTCCTTTTTTTTCTTTCTCTCTTTGTAACAAGAGGGTAGTCTTAGCCGCACCCACATATTAACCAGCTGTCTTTGATGATTCATTAATTAACACTAGTTTAAGAATACCTATTTGAGCAATTGAAGTGTGTCCTGAAGAAGACTGTTTTGCCGAAACGCGTAGATCTACTTTTAACTAGTTGTAATGATTTAAGCCCAGTTCATTAAAGGCTTTTTATCTTACCACGTGAGTGCCTTGGAAGTATTTTGTCTACATAATAAACGTATTTGTCCATTTGAATTACGTATATTATTCATTAGCATATATGTATTTTGCTTTAAGGACATTCAGTTATTTATATTGGAAAACAAGACAAAAATACTGAGAAACAAAATAATTTTTTGCAGTGAAGCGGCTCAAATTTGCATCAAGAAACAATGAAAACCAATTACAGCCAGATGAAGGTTTAATTTCAAACTCAATTTTAAACTTAATTTCCTGTCATCCGTTTCTCAACGCCTCTCTCTCTATTGTCTGTTATCTTGGGGTCGGTCTCTCTGTCGTACCTTGCACCTCCAGGTAAGCTTTCCAGGATGCCTCTCCGCTGGGGGTGGAGGCGGTGCAGGTGTACATGCCAGTGTCTCCCAGCTGAAATGAGGAAAAAATCCCTCTATTAATGCAAATACAGACATATGCATATAAGATAATAGCGACTTTTTCTACATTCAGCTCCAAAATAACTCCTAGTTTGACACTATAGTGTAATTTCATACCAAAATACACAGTGTACATTGTCAAGATGTCTCTTCAGAGTATCGCTTTCATATTGAAGATGCATTTTTTGTCTACTCGTATGTAATACATCGCTAAAATTACATTGAGCAGATATTTTTGCAATGTTCACTATTCAGAATGTATGAAAATATGCTTTTTTAGATGATAATCAGATGTATAGTAATATAATATGTAAAGGTGGTATGTGGAATTTTTGCACCAATAGCATTTGCAAACAAAATATCAAAAATAAAAAAATACTAAAATAAAATAAAAAAATATTTGGATGACTTAACATAAAAAAATTTTTTTTTAAATGAATGAATGAATGAATTAATTCATTCATTCATTCATTGTTGAGAGAGAAAAAACGACATATACGAATATATAAAATAAAAATAAAATAATTGTTTTCCCAAACCTGTAGTTAATTTTAGGACTTACTAGGTAGTCAAAATGATTATTTAAATGAATTAATGAATAAATAAATAAATAAATAAATAAACAGCTTGGTCAAAGACAGAAAAAAAGACTAATAGACATATATGAACATTTACATTTATGTTCCTAGACAGCGCTTTCTTAGCACATAATGATAATCAGTAAGAAAATTTACATCCAGCCAGTTGTTATCACAGAATAACCCCCGCTCAGGGTGATCAGGGTGGTCTTGTATCACCCTGAAGGGAGTTATTCTGCAATAACAACCGGCTGGATGTACATTATCCCGCTTATTACACGGTTACTTGCCACATAAGTAAATAATTAGACACAAAATATTGAGTTGAAATATTTGAACGCAAAGCTTCCGTGAAGACAGAAGTTGCAAGCAAGCGGCAAGTTCAAACTAGGTGATAAAAGATATTTAAGACAAAACTGTTTTAAAATCTTACCAGTTTGTTAGTTATCTTATAATTCATTACAGTCTACAAAACAATCATATAATCGTGGTTGTATGATGTAGTGTTGGTGTATGCTAATATCTTAAGGAAAAACAAGACACATTTAAGAACGTCAGTTGATCCGTCAGTCAGTTTATGCAGGTGGTATGAAAGCCACCAGAAATAGACAGTTTATCTCAAGCTACTGGTGTGCGTGTGTTCGCTTAATGACATGTTCATTACTGCGGCCTGCCCGAAGCGCAACAGATAGAGACGCATCTCCTCATTTCGCTTTATCTCTCCTCTATTCTTGAAAAGAAGCGAGACGTCGTCAAGTGAGACATCTACGTTAATTAAAGTTGTATTCTTGCAGCCCACACTGCGGGGACCTTTGACCCCCGTGCAGGAGGAACCCGGGTGCTCGTGTGTGTGTGTGTGTGTGTGCGTGTGTGTGCGGTGACAGGAAACGCTCCCCTCCCCCTCGCAGCTGATGGGGGGGTGACAGCAGGAGTGTGTGGTTCACATATCAAAACCTGCAGGCTGAGCGACGGCTCTCTGAACACTGGAGACGATGATGTTTGTGCTGTAGTGAGGGATGAAAGGAAAGCCTGTCTGATGGTGTACTACACACACGTACAAAAGCACAAACCTTCAAAGGTGCATGCATACACATGATATTATGCATGCTTTGCAATCATTAGCAAATTGAAATGATTAATTAAGGATGTATGATCATATATCAGTATAGCTATACTGCAACAATACTTCAGACCTATATATTTTTACATTTATTTACAGTGAGGCCCAAAAGAATGAGACCACACTGAAAATACAGGATTCAAAATTTAGTTTAAACCTGGAAATGAAAAAAAAAAAAAAA